AAAAAAAAAAAAAAAAAAAAAAAAAAAAAAAAAAAAAGAAAACCCAGGAATCGTTCACTTTCAATTTCCCACGGGAATCACCTAAATATTTTCTGCCTCATTTAGAATAGCTTAGGCATAATTCAATTACTGATTTTATTGGGGTATTAGCCCAACACATCCTGCTAAGATTAGCAATTGTCAACACCAAATTTATTTAAAGTGCAAAGAAGCAAACACAATAAAATAAAATAACCCAGAAGGAGAACCTTGTATGTAAACGTCTCCCATTACTAAAATGTTAATAATCAATTAAAATTAAAAAAAAAAACACTGCTTTTGTGGACTGGACTTGACCTGTGGGGAAGCAGTTAGCCACTCCTGATTGAAATGAAGTCACACCCACTGTCCCCACAATGATGCACCCACAGGCTGTGCTGTGCTCTGTTTGTGTCCCCAACATTCACAGGCTGAATCCTAACCCCCAGGGTGATGGTGCCAGGAGGCGGGGCCTCCGGGAGGGGATGAAGTCATGAGGGCGGAGCCCCCGTGATGGGATGAAGTGACCTTATAAAAGGGGCCCAAGAGAGCCCCTCACCCCTTCCACCACATGAGGACACAGCGAGAAGGTGCCATCTATGAACCAGAAGGCGGGTCCTCACTAGAACTGACCTTGCTGGTGCACTGACCTTGGACTCCCAGCCTCCAGGACTGTGAGAACTGAGTGTCTGTTGTTTATGGGCCCCTGGTCGGCGGTGTGTGTTACAGCAGCCTGGACGGTGAAGACAGGCTACGACTGACCTCATCCAATGATGGACAGGCTGGCGTCACTGGGTGTCCTTGTCTTGTTCTGACTTTAACGGGAGGGAGTGTTTTGCAAGTTTCAACTTGAAGTAGGAGTCTCCACTGGGTAATGTCATGTTTTCCTTTCGCTTACAATAAAGGGAAGTTAGTTGCATTTGTATCGATGCTCAGCAGGTAGCGCTCTCCGGCTACTAGAGCATCACCATAATACCATCTTTAAATGGCCAATTTTCACAAATTTGCATACAAATATAACAAAAGCCATAACGAACAGATCTGGTCTTCCATCTCATAGCGCTTTCAAATTGTACAGAACTTTAAAAGAGTCGCTTTGAACACTCATATCATCAATAGGAGCAAACTATGGTACATACACTGAAGCCAGCCAACAGCTACTGTAAGACTTCCCTAAATATAATTTGATGGTATGTTTCCTGTTTTCTAGCCACACCAATGATTTTTATATATATAACTACCGTGTATGTAAAGTATAACAATGAAAGATGGTTCTGAAGTAAAAACGCTATCCAGGGTTCATCAAACGACTTATGCAATTTTGACACACGCTCGTCAATGACACAGTCGGCCACCACACAGGGACGCCCAACGCCAACACCCGGGAGACTGAGACCCATCTCGTGTGAAGTCTACGTCACCTTTCCCAGCATCCTGCCCAGGAAGTAGTAATGTCTGGCAAAGGAGTCTCCCACGAGCATGTGAGCAGCTGGGTTGGGGTATAGCAGGCCTTCATTGGTCGTCTTGAAGAAGCCCTGGTTGGGGTTGAACCCTGACTTCAGCAGCTCATTGAGAAACTCCCGGAAGATGCCGCCGCCGTCAATGCCGGCTTCGTCCAGACCGTGCGCGTTGAGCAGGTGGACGCGGATGCGCTTCTTCAAGTCAGGCTCTGTTAGCGGGATGGGGGAGGGGGAGGGTTTAAAGAAAGCAATAAAATAAGTTGGTATTACAGGAAGTTCAAGGGAGGGGCGAGAACATGAGAGCTCCTGCAACGCAGGGTGCCAAACACAATCAGTGAGGTTAAGTGAGACTGAGAGACAGATGGGCAGTGTCCCCAGAGCCTCCCTCCATGGGAGAGGGGAGAGGAGGTAATGGAGCTAAGGAGTGGGGCGTGTCCAGGAAGAAACAGAGGCGCCCCACATAGCTCAAGGACATGACACACTGAAGGCTAGGAGAGCAGGGCAGTGGAAACAAGGACATAAGGAGAACACCATCTCTGACCAAGAAAGGCAAAAAAGATACAGGACTACAGATGGCAGTGAAAGTCATGCCTCAAAGACCCTCTGAAAGAGGCGAATGGTACGGGAGGGCCACAACCCCAGGATCTATGGCACCCTTTAAAAGTGATGTTTGGCTGGAAAAGGGGGAAATTTGGGGGTTTTATAACGGGCCACAAAGACTGAAAAAAACCTGCAAGGCTGTTTAACTATGCCTGCTACCTGGTAAAGCCCACAAGCCCACGCCATGCGGCTCTGCTGGCCCCTGTGCTCCGTAAAGGAGTGGCTATCAGCAGTGGTTATTTGGCCTGAGCTAGAATCTACTCTAGGAATTCCACATCCATTAATCGAATCCTTTAAGAGCCTGCTGGGTAAAGAATCAAGCCCACTGTGCCATGTTGAAAACCAAGGACAAGGAAGGCTGAACGATTTATCTAAAGACGTAGCACTAAATTTAACTATATTTACATGAAGAACATGCTTTTCACTGACGATTAAATTCCAGTTATGTGCAGCTACTATTTTGATTAATATGATTACAAAATAGGTTCACTCTCAAGTTCTAGGTAAAATGTCAAATGAAATCGAAGCAGATGATTACAGATGCAACACAGGTAGCTGGGGATTTCTCACCTTTACACGTATCCTCTTAGTACCCTGTTTTAAGGATGAACTGAGTCTAGGCATTTATTTGTTATGTGTACTATTTCTCAAGATGGCTGTCAGCAGTTAGCAGCAGATTTTGTAAAAATTGTGTAAATGGGAAATGCTCAACTATGGTCCATCTTTAAACCCTCCGTTCAAACCGAGGGACTAAGATCCTAAGCGGAGGTCGCTGTCTCCCAGGGACTCATCCCCCTTCACTTGTGGCTGGGCTGAGAGTCTGGCTCTCTGAAGCTCAGCTCTGTGAAGAGCAACACACGACAGCACAGAGCATCTCAGCCTCAAATCCAGCCTTCTAGGTGTGTCTGCCTCTGCTGTGTCTGCGGGCAAATCTACAATACCCACTCACACAGCAAGTTCCTGGTGAAAAACCCAAGTAAAATATTACTCTGATTCTACCCTATTGTCATTTCTTCTTCTGGAAAACAATGTAATACACCCTGCCTATGAAACGAAAGAAAACATAACCAAGCAGCACACAAAGCACAGGCAAGGGAGGCCCAGAGGGAAAGACCACAGCCAAGCTTAGTGCCAGCCAACGCGCACCCACGGGGGCGGGTGACACCGAAGGCCGGCGGGGGTGGACCACCAAATCCTTACAACAGTCCAAGAAGAAATATGGCCGCTGCTGCGTGGAGAAATCAAGGTCCAACCCACGCTGTTACCCGGGGAAACGCTGCAATGACCATGTGCGGGGCCACTGTGCCAGGCCCCATGTCACTCTGTCTGCTTAGCTCCTGACTGCAAAGAGAAGTCACTCAACTTCTCTGAGCCCCAGCCGGCCACCCACTTGTTGGTGGGGCTGCCACCCACGCTGCAGGCAACTGTTCTCAGAGGGTCTGAGATACTGAGTGTCCACAAAGGGTGGACTTGCTTTAACGATTAGATGATATATGAAATAATCATATTAATTGATTATATGTAAATGATCGGTCAACAGAGCTCTTCAGACCAATTTCCCGTAAGTAAATTAAACATTCTGAGATGTTTAATTTCACTAATTTGCCTAAAAAAATATCAAATAATTTTAACACTCAGTTTAAAAATTCTTATTAATAAGGCCTGAATTAGAGAACATTTGTAAAGATTTAAAGCATTATAACAAAATATTATGAGAAGATTTTTTCCAAATCCTTTAAACTCAATGCAATTATGAGCCTGCACTTAAGGTGTATGGAGTAAGATCAACTTTTGAATGATTGTGAAGCTTAAAGACACACCAGGCAATTCGGGGCTTTGACGACTGGGCATACTGTCTATGTGAAATCGTTTTCCGTCACTGAGAAGCACATGCCTGATTCTGGCCTTAGGGCTCCCACGCCAGCAGGTGGAGAAGTCTCAGTCTGCCAGGTGCAGAGTCCAGGACGCCCGTGCCCTGTCCACTGTGACCGCACAGGTAAGACTTGCCTTGCCCCCTCTCCCGAGTCCTGGCTCAAGGACCCCCTTCAGCATGCAGTACATCTCGGCTCTTTGAACACTGTTCCAATCCTCTGCAAATTTATCATTCTGTTACAGCTACTGTGCTTTCCCCAGGTTCAAACTCAACAAAAGTCCCTGAGCGCCAGCTGTGTGAACTGCCAAAGATAAGGATTCTGTCCTAGACCGCGAGGCCGCCAGTCAAGTGGCAGACACACAGGGAAACTGCTAACACAACAACACAGCACAGCTATTACTTCAACGGATTTACAAAGGGCTGTGGATCCCAAAGGAGGGAGAACTACTGCTTTTTTCAAAAGTATGTTAGGGCCGGCCGAGTGGCGCGATGGTTAAGAGCTGGCTTGGGACGCCAGAGGGCCCTGGTTCGGATCCCACATATGAGGGCCAGTGACACCGCCCTCCACAGCTAAGATGCTGAACCAGTGACACCGCCCTCCACAGCTAAGATGCTGAACAACAGCTCAACCTGGAGCTGGGCTGCCGTGAATCACGGGTGATAGCGTAGGCTGCAGCCCCTGCTGCAGTGGGTTGCCATGGGCTACTGTGTGTAGCCAGCAGCCAGCGTGAGTGGCCAGCAACCAGCGTGAGTGGCCAACAGCCGCCGTGAGCGGCTGTCCAGAAGCTGGCGAATCTGCCTCGCCCGGGAAGAGCGCAATGATGGTGCCAACTTGGGCCAGTGAAGCAACGTCCTCCACAACTAGACTGAAGAACTAAAGGACAGCAAACTTGTCTGTTCCCATTCCCCCAGTTCCCCAACAAAAATCTTTAAAAAAACAACAAAAAAACTATGTTTAGACTAGGAGTCAGAATGCCTGATTTCCACCTCATTCATACACAACAGTATCCTGGCAAGAGTGACCTGGTGCACTGCGAAGCGCAGGGCCTGTAGGCAGACTTGACTTAAAACTGTCCCAGTGCATGGTATGTGGCTTCAGAGGGCTGAGGCACAGATTAAAGGACAACACTGAATGATGTGAAAAACAGAAACGTGTACACAGGACCTGAACACAGTGAGGGAACCAGTGACGGGAGTGACGGCAGCCCTCCTCTATCGTCCCTGCAGTATGACAAAATTAGCTCTTTAAGTGAAAAAAAAAAAAAAAAGTGTTTGAAACGAGATTTTGCTTCCCTAGGAGAAAATTAAATTGCTCCCCTAAGAAAAAAGGCAGCTGTTATTTCACCCCTGAAAAGCACCCACCATCTCCCACACCTGTGACCCTGATCCTGCCAAGCTTCCGTTTTTAATCTCCTGCATTGATTTAACATCGATTTATTGCAACATCACGAATTCCACATTCTGAAGTTAAAATTATTAATATATAAATGAGTAATACTAAAACTTTAATACTGGGTGTCAAATATTAACGTAAGACAAAATGTGTCGCTGACCTCTAAACGCAGTCCAAATTACTGGTGCAATATAATTCCCTTTGAGCTAGGAACACTGTCACCAAAGCACACTATCTTTTCATAAAGAAATTTAGATTGCAATACTAATTATTTTAGTGTATTTGATTTGGCTTATAATTTATAATATTTACATAAACAGACAGTCATAAACAAAATGAAGAATGTAAATGGCTGTCTATCCACATTTTTAGAATTACAGGTTGTCAACTAATTTTAGAGACAGACATTTAGGGGTATAGGGGTGAGGTTTCTTGCCTTAAAAAAACCCAGTATTTGAAAGCTTGTGTTGTGATAATTATTTGTCAATCTTAGGACTATTATTTGATTACACCTCCTAAATTTGATCTACTATATTTCAGTTTTCAAAAGTCATTACTGAACAAGATTACGGACACTAATTTGTTAATGATTACCTTTCTCTAAAATAATTCCCAGCCTCCCCTGGCCATATGCATACATACAGAGAATTATATATACCATTTTCTGGGGAAAGTTTGTCGTAAGCATCTTCATAAATATAGTTTCTTCTTATTGTGACATTAATTCCATCCAGAAATGGACCATCTCCTTGAACTTCTTGCTTATCGGCATAAATCAACCTTTGAAAGATCTAACGAACAGGGGAACTTGTAAGGTTATTCGAGACAACAGACTTTTTGTTATGAACATAAGCAACCAAAAGAAAAACTGCCAATTAAACTAAATCTTATCTTTGTATCTCCACAAATTCTGAAACCAATTTTAAAGGTCATGGTATCAAATAATGACTTTATGCTTTATCAATAAATGTGTAATATTTATGCATTTGTAACATTGCTCTTTTTCCCATTTGACAACTAAATTTTAAAATCTCATACTACCATGTATTTTTACTTATTTCTTCTATAAACCCTTTATAAAAACCCAGGTGATTTAGGGAAAAAGAAAAACAGCTTTGTAAAGTGTCTATTAGTATTAGTAGGGATATCGCCATAACGTTAAAAATCAAGTAATATTTTTTGACACTAAAAATCCAGCAGGGGGAGCTCAGGAATTATGCAAGACCATGTATGCATGTGTGTTCGTGTAAGTGTTTTAACGAAGAAACATGAAGAGCTTTAAAAGGACTCCTTTGTGTGTTCATCCTGTAAAAAGAACAGGCAAACCTACAACACACCCCCTTAAGCCAATACCGAAGAATAGAGCCTAGTAGTTTATAGAAATTTGCTAAGTTGATGAATATAAATAAAACATTTTAAATTACATCTGAGAACAGATAAATGTAAATGAAGCTTTTTGTACATTAGTCAAAAATCACCAGGCAAGAAATTAAGATACCGGTCCATCTCTTTTTTAATATAGTGTTTTATAAATAACTTTAACAATGTACAGAGCATATATTTTTTAAAAATCTGCATTTTCACAAATAATGTATAATTTACTAGACAAAAAGGACCTTATACTCTCATTATAAGAAAACAATAGCATAACAAGCCTTTTAACTAGTTACAACTAAGAAAAAAAGTATTTCAAGTTTGCACAGACATTTGGTTGGATTACACTTTTATAAATCATTGTCAACTATAATTTAATCTAATGAGAAAATATAAACTACATAATTAGCTGGACAGTAAGCAACTTTCGAGATTTTTCATTGGTGTTTGTCCTTAACACTGCAATATTAATAAGACACTCTCAGTCAATTGGTAAACAGACCAAACTGCCTACCTTTACGCGTTCCTCAAACGGAACCACAAAGGGCAGTTCTGTCAGGATGGCGAGCTGTCTTTCCTCAGATACAGACAGTGGTGGGGACTCCAGACCCACTAAAACATATTGAAAGCCTCAGTTAGTTTCCTTTCCAGACTCACAAGGCTCTCCACTCTATGGCTCGATGTAAGACGTTCCAGAAAAAGGCAAAGCTATAGGAACAAAAGCCAGCTATGGTTGCGGGGCCGGGGCTGGGAGAGGCTGGCTGCAGAGCGCATGGTCTGTGGCGTGACAGACTCTCTAGGCCAGCGGTTCTCAACCTGTGGGTCGCGACCCCTTTAGGGGTCGAACAACCCTTTCACAGGGGTCATCTAAGACCATCAGAAAACAAAAAGATATTTACATTACGATTCATAACAGTAGCAAAACTACAGTTGTAGAGTAGCAACGAAAATAATTTTATGGTTGGGGGTCACCACAACATGAGGAACTGGATTAAGGGGTTGCGGCATTAGGAAGGTTGAGAACTGCTGCTCTAGGCGGTAAGGTATGTGCCCATCAGGATCGCAGAACAGTAGGTGAGAAGGTGAGTTTCACGGTATATAAGTTACAATCCAGAGGGCAATGCGGGGCCTGGGCACTCACCGTCCAGGGTGGACTGCAGCGGGCCTATCCGCCCCATCCGCCGGAAGCGCCACACATGTCTGGAGGCCGGCACGTAGAGCTGGGTGACCTGTGGGGCCAGAACCCTTGCTTAGTGCTGCCCGTGTCACACGGGAACTCATTGGAGCTTTACATGTATCTAACGTCAGCTACGTCTCTGACCTCAGGTCCTTTTCATGTCCCCTGTCCTATGCTGGCCGTCCTGTCACACTTTTACAGTGCACTGTCTGCACATAGCAAATTATCACAACACGACTGCTTTACAAAGAAAAACACAGCACACTTAAAAACACAATTTCTTACTATTACCAAATAATCACTTCCTCACAATTTTCTAAAAGTTAATTTTTTTGAATTACGTAGTATCCAGATAAGGTTGATGTGGTTTCCTGTATCTTAAATTCTTTCAATCCGTCAACTCCCCTCACCCTTTTCTGCCCTTGTAATTCTGGGTGAAGCAGCGAAGCATGTGGCCCGTAGTACTGGGTTGTTGGAAAAGTCATGACGTATTTTTTCTCTGTTTTTCGTTGTAAAAATGCATCATGACTTTTCCGACAACCCAGTATTTCCCATCATCTGGCCTGAGCTGGGTGCGCCTCCTGGGGCATCTAACATGTATGTCCAGCCCTTCATTTCCTGTCGATTTGTAATTCTGTCTAGATGCTTCATCACATTCCGGTTAGTTTTGGGCAGGACACTTCTGGGTGGTGTGTGCTCTTTCCTTAAGAGGCACATGTGTTTGGACGCTGCACGTCTGTGTTACGTACTGTTACCATCAGCAATGTCAAGAACCTGAGCCGTAACATGAATCTATTATGCCACTAGACGCACTGTTTGGCTCAGCCAACATGTTTTCTGTAGCAAAACTCTGGAGCAGGGAGGCAGCACTGACTTGCATGCTGGCAACAGACCCTCTTCTCCTGGGGGGCCTCACATCCACGGTCGCAGCAGACCCAGTGTGTGGACTGTACTCTGCCTGGCACCGCCTAGGCTGCCTACTTCATCTAAGCCTGCAGAATAGTGAGGTTCTGCTTCGAAAATGCCTTCTTTATGTAGGATTAGCTGGAATACATCTATATCGAGAAGGCTCTCTCATCATCAGCTCCCTGGTTAGCCCAAGGACTAAAGGAAAGGCAGGCTAAATGCGTGACTACTTTTTTCCAAACCTGTATTCAAAATAATGACGTTGTTCCTTTGCATCCTACGAGACGGCCGACAAGGATCTTTCTTTTTCCTGTAGTCTCATGAGCCCGCAGACCAAACACACCTGATGTTTGGCCCCCTGTGCCTGTTTGTGTGATGCTCACTGTTCACCTCTGCTGGACCCCTGGTCTGCTCACCAAGTCTCCTGGGCTCCCTGCTCTCCAGCGACCAACACTCCCCACCCATCTCGTCCAGACCCAGGACCAACGATCGTGCCAATGACTGCTTCTTTTTGGTGGGAAGGGCTGCTCAGAGGCCCCACCCTGGGCCCTGGTGGTGTTCCTGGTATAGGACCTGTCATGGTTGCTCAGCCTGGTCAGTGGGCAGAGCTAGAAGCCACATGCTTAATTTAAACATAAAACAGCTCGTGCGGACATGGTAGTGCTTCTGAACTGTTCGGAAACACTCCTGCTTTCTTTAAGGTTGCTGTAAACTTGTTTCTTCTATACTGCTCCCCTCTGCCCCCATCCCCAAGATTTTGAAATGAATCTAGTCATGCCTTTTGCTGACAAACAAAAATGAAAACACTTCAAGTCCTTTGTCAATATTATTTAAAATTTTAAAGACATATTATACTATTGAATCTACTTTAGATCTAAATCTTAGTAATATTCAACTTTGCTCCTTTAGAAAATCAAGGAAAAACACTTTTTTAAAGTACTAAATATGTATTGTTAATACTAATAAAAGCAAAATCATTTTTCACCATAAAAAAGAATCATCAGGCTTCAATATAATTGTAATTAAAAAGCAAAATAAAATTAATGAACCCAGGATGCACATTTTAGCTAATGGTGTTGCTATATATTCTGTGACCTAAAGTTAAATTTAAAGGTCTAACTCCTTAACCTTTGACCCTGTTAATATATAGTTATATAATAAGTAATAAACAATTTTAAAAGACCTATTCTAGCTAAAGAAAATCTGTTTAATGGAAAACATGAGAAGGGCCCTTCAGCAGCACCTTGTCTGCCTTAATGTCTTCCTGCTCCGACAGCCAGTGATTTGGAGGACAAAAGCTTCTCCTGGTGTCCCTGGACTTCAACATTTTCACTAGGTTGGTGATCACCTGAAGAGGAAGAACAGGACCATGTCACATAAACTGCTCAGTAAGTGCCACCAGCCAGAGGGCACAGCACACGTGTGCTTCGTCACCTACATGCCCGAGCGCGTGTAGGCCTTGGCTGCCATGGCCCGGCCACCACACCAGTTTACAGAAAAGGGTCTCATTCTGTGATCATGAGTTCCAAGTGCAAAGCAGTTAGTTACTGTCAACAAACAGAGAAAAGTTAACAGAAATATGTGCAAAGCCTGATTTTTTAAAACTACAAGGGAGGCAGTGATGAAGTTCTGAAACACAGATTTGGAAATGTACTAACTCATCTGAGCTACAATGAAAGACATTTTCCAAGTACAGCAATTTTATAAAACTTTTCCCGAGGTAAAACACTATGTCTTATGTCTTTTTTTCTGAAAAGCACAGTATCAACGGCGCTGGGGGAAAAAGGAAGACATCTCTCTCACATCTTCCAAAAGGAAAAACCATTTCAGTATTTCCCTTGTAGGGGCCTCTGGAGTCAGGTCTACTTCCCACTGTAACTCCCCACAAACTTAGGTCCAATGTCTTCCATGAAGCTTCCTCCAGTCTCCGGCCTACTCCCACTGCCACACCGTCACGTCTTAGGCCTATACTGGCTTTTCCAACAAGCGGTAGCTCCTCTCTGGCTGTGCAGTAAGCTCCTGCGAACACAACCCAACTAACTACTGGAACCCATGGGGACGTGATCACTGGCCGGGGATCAATAATTAATTGTCAGTTTTATAACGAATGATTAAAGGGATCTAATGGTACCGTCTATTTAAAAAGACTTGAAGATCTAATCAAATAGAAATGTATTTTGTAATAAATAAAGATAAACCACCATAAAACTGTAAATCCAAAGTTTTAAACCGTTCCAAGCAGGATTTGATCATACAGCCACTATGTAGCTACAGTGAGACTGACGGTCATTTCTGGGAAACTAAAGCCAGGCTGTGTGAGCCCTGCATCTAGTTACGTGAAACATAATTTGGATAAAACGTAACTTGGATAGGAATAATAAAATTAGGGTGATGTGATTAATTTCCCAATACACCCACTGGACAAGCAAGACTGCAAAATCTCAATGGGTTAGTAGAGCTTTCCCTTGAAAACCCTACTACAGCATCTATATACAACAGAAATACAAATGACATGCAAATCCTGGCATCTGGGAATACCAGGAATTCTGTGTGTCCAACACAAGTGGGTGAGAAAGGGCACATGGTTGGCATCTCAGGCCACTGTGCTGTGGACACTGCCTGGGTGATGTGCCCATGGGCAGAGAAAAAGCAGACCTGGAGTCGTTTGGTCATGCAAAACTGCACCAGTAAGAACCTCTCAGGATCTAGAACACAGCTTTTTAACGGGGAGATATTTCCTACCGACCTAGCTGTGGCATTTTAAAGCCTGTCCCAATACTGTGGTGAGTGACAGCTTTGTGAATGAGCAGGGATGAGCTCAGGTAAGTGATGGGCTGGCACCTTAACCCTGCAGAGGGGTGAGGTTCCACAGATGCGGCGTTTTCTGACCTCTGCTCTCAGGTGCAGCCCCAGCAGACCAAGACTCGCCTGGTCTGGGTTCTGTCTGGCTAATTGCTGGTCACAGCAGTGTGGTCACTGACCCAGTGCACTCATCCTCGCATGTCTCGCAGGGGTGCTCTCCAAAGGAAGGCTGAATCCCAGTGAGTTGTGGGTCTGGGACAAGTGCAGCTCCGCCCACGCACAGCGAGCCACTAAGAGCAGCACGCGGCCTCCTTGCATTGGAGACGGCAGCACGGTTGCTCTGTATGAAGAACCTAACATCTTCCATTTTCTTAACCAGTCACACTGGTATTTTAGGAGTTCAGAGGTAACAGGCATTATGCTGCAATATACCCACAATGTTCCACAGCTTAACAAAAGACATGGCTTCCAACAAATACTCGTACTTAGGTGTAGTTATTGAGCCGCACCATTTATTACTTAAGGCTTCCACGTATCATCCCCTGGAACCTTGACATGCTCATGCATTTATCATCTCCACTGTGCAGATGAGGAAACTGAGCTTTATTGAGGATAAGTAACTTGCTCAAGGGCACATAGGGGCAGGACAAGGGCAGCCTAACTCTAGAAAACAAAACTGTGTCCGCCTCCTGGCATTCATCTCTGTGCAATCTATGTTTATGGGAACACTTTACATAGGTCACAAACATTATTACACTCTCCATGAGGCAATTAATGCCATAATTTACATTCTTCTTTAAATTATTGTGAAATTAAACATTAAAAAGTTTCAATACAGGGCACCCCTTTCATATTTCACATTCAAAAAGAAGTGATCACACATTACTTATAAAATGTCTTAGATCATTGATCCTCTTTCAAAAAAAAAAAAAGAGAGAGAGAGTACAAGGAGAAGGGGGGGAGAAGAAAGAAGATACAGAAGTGACTTCGAAGGGACGCCGAGACAGCAGTCACTGTGGAAAAGCATCTTAACAAATTAGTTGACAGTGAGCCAGGCTCGAAGATGAGCCTGCATATGATTGCCAGAGAAAACATAGACACCTAGTTAAATCTGAATGTCGGAGAAACATCAAGTAATCCTTTAGTATAGATATGTTCCAAATATCGCTTTATTCAAAGTGTAAGCATGTCCCAAACATTGCATGGGACATATTTACATTTAAAAAAGCATTTGTTATCTGAAATTCAAATTTAACTAGAGGACACATTTTTACCTGCTACATCTGGCAACACTCGCTCTGGATCCGGTCCAAAACACTTTCTGAGAAATGTCAAATCCTGTATCTTAAATTCAACTGAGAGCATTACTTTCTTCATATTACACAATTTTTCTTCTAAGTTTTAAAGTAAAATACAAATTTTAAGAAACCATGGAAATTTAACTGAGTCCATTTTAGTGATGTCAAAACACCTTTAAAACACATTCCTTTTCTCTACATTCATTTTCAGTATTACAAACTCAACTGCTGTACAAGTACTTTAGTACCAAAGAAGCAAAGTTTATGGAGGTAGCCATTAAAAAATGACATAAATTGACAAAAGGTTGTTAAGAGTAAGAAAAACTGGAGTAACAGTTTTAAGCTGAATCAACAGATAGCCGGTGATGAGATGTGAAGACAGTTCTCCTTCAGTTAATCTCCTCACACTTTCTGGCCTAGACAGGCCCACTAGAGACTCTCCCGGAACTGAAGGCTCACAGAACTCCAGACTTAAACAGGTCCTCCCTCAGTCATGAGTGCCCACACAGGCTGCCGCCACCACCACCACCCATTTCAATCCAGTTCATTTGAGATGACACCAGTCGGTAACCATTTTTAACTGATTCCCAGGAGATTCTACTATGCAGTTAGACCTGAGAACCAGTGTGTTATGAAGTAAAATAAAACAGCAAACAAGCAAACACTAGAAAACGAGCTGTGCCTAGACCAGTGCACAGTTTTAGCAGACTCTAATAATAATATTGATTTGGTGTGTCTTGTCCCCTGTCTTGTGTTCTTCCGTGTTAGAGCTAAACTTCAGGTTAAATAACTGCTCAAAAACTAATAAAATTATTTAAGTAAATACTCAGAAATGCACACAATTGTCATACATGCTCTATTATTTACTATTTGAATTAAAAATCAGTGACCCCTGTAAGCAGGTTTCATTAACCCCAATGTTACAAAGATCAAGTAGATAACCGCTCAGAAACATAGGCCCCTTCCTCGTAAAGAAGCACACTCCCTAACCGTCCGAGCTGAAGGGTGTGAATGAACAGGCACTGTTCACAGATCGTTGGGTGTGTGCGAGCTCAATGGCGGTGAGGACCACGAGGCAATCTTGACCAATGACCTGAGGGAGATAGTCTCAGGCATTTTATACACTCCATCATATAAGTGTGCCTATATATGACTGAAGGCTGTTGATGTTAAAGTATGACATTTCTGAATGAAGATCACTGATATTTATATTATTGCAACCAAAAAAGTACATAGTCCAAATTTTGAAAGGCACCTGGAAGGCTAAATTACAATATGAAAACAGAATCTCTTTTTAATCTTAAATCTGATATGTAAAATCTGGTAAGTAAACTCAAACATCTACAGTAATTCTTTAGAAAGTTCAATACAAAACATAGGATACCACACATAATTTACGGGTCCTTCAGTGTGACCAATGTGTAATGTGGTCAAAATCCATCAATAAGGACTTTTTAGGATTCTGATTTCATGATGAAGAATATGTGAAAATAAAATATGAGAAAACCAGAAAGGCACCAGCTCCAAGAATATCATCTCACAGACGACCCAAGTGACTGTCCCCATCAATCAAACGTCTCGCGGGACCAGCATTGCTTTTTTCCGTCCTGGGTGCTCCAAAGCACCCACCGCTCAGCTCTGTTCTCTCTGTGTCATTAGTGGAAGGCTTGTCCTTGTCACTGTACAATGACACTGGAAGTCCGACCTCACTTAGGATTCCCTAGGCACAGGGTGGAGTCAGTGTTCCAGGATGAACAGTGTGGGGGATGGAATAAGTGGCAGTAATGACACCCTAACCGCTAACCTGTAAAAGTCATGACGTGTCCGATATGGATCACCGCTGCCAACGGCTTACCGAGTTTCACACAGTCCTCGGCTACCACTTGTTAGAATGCTGTATTTTTAAAGACAAGTGCTCTCCAGCATGTTTCCATTTTACTTCATAGTCAGAAACAAAACAAATAAAACCCTAAGAAGACAGAAAAGCACACAGCCTGCTGCTGACACCCTGGGGTCACCATGGACAGGTGGCGGGGTGCAGCAGGGTTAGAGCCAGCACTCCACCCATCTTGACCGCTAACTTCTGAACATCTCTGAAACCGAACCCCCCCCCCCCGAGTGCCTGCATAATGACCATGGCTCTGGATGGACAGATGGCGCAGGGAGAGCGCAGAGCCCCGTCAGTCGGGGGCCGTCAGTAGGGGCCACCCAGGGCTTCACTGGGGAGCGCCTATCTCCTCGTGGCGGCTGAAGCAATCACGGCTGTAAATTACACTCAACAGGCGTTTATAAACTTGATAAATGCATCAGCTGCTTTAGCAGTGTCAATGCAGGCCTTAGAAACTGACCTTCATTTTTCCAGTGACAAAGAAAGATGATTCTATCCACTTAAAACTCGAAGTCCTGTGACCAGCTGGCAGAGCCTCTCACAGAAATTGGTTCGAGGACCAGCACAGGACTGAAAAATGAAAATGGTCAGTGCCTGAAGGAGTCAGGTCTCATCATTTGCAATTGTGTCACAATCAGCAGAAGGCACAAAATCACTGGCAAAATGCTTTTACCTTCTTTGGTGGGTTCAGCCTTAAATTCTTCAACTCAAATTTGGCACCGGAACATAAACAATGCTAACATTTTATTTTAGCACTTTCCAGAGGGGATGGTAGAGGAGCAGCTGAGACCAAATGCTGGCTCTGTCACCTACTGGCTATGCGACCTCACCTGTGAGATGCGCTTAACGCCAGACAGTGTCTTCTTCCTCACAAGCTGCTGCACCAGTGAGTGAATAATGGAGAGCTCTTAGAATACTGTCCGAGACACAGTATAGCTGAGGGGTACATTCTTATCTCACATTAAAGATAATCTTTTCTACAGAGAAAAACTAATAGCAGCTGAACCCTTTTCTACTCAAGATTATGCCTTGATTTTTTTCCCCTTATTTTCAGGGCTCAGCTCATTAGAAGGTAGTATAAAAAAATTTTTTTTTCAAAGAACAGGAATCCTGCTCAAAAACCTGTCTTCAGACAATTCTGTTCTGAATGCAGAAGGTCTTACCTAAAACTATTGATACCAAAAAAGGTGAACTTGCACTCTAATTCTTAAAAACCTTCAATCCTTATTAAAGTAGTATTACGTCATTTCAGGCATAAGAAAAAATTCACCATAAAATTTCCACTGAATGCTTAAGCGAAATAAAATAGGGGCAGGTGTAAAATACACGGCCTTATTAAACCTAGAGGTTTCCAGGTTCTAAAGATAAGCCTGTCCTGTGAAGATGATTAAATTCTCAATAGGTGCTATAAAATATTGAAATTATCTGACACTGTACACAATGCCCGATATCCTACATAATGGAAAGCTTTATTAACAAAGATTTCAGAGTTTAATTAAAAACTTAAAGAAAAACACATATGTTACCATCATAAGCACATCCAGGAAGAGCTTACATAAGAATTATAGGTTTTAAATGGGTGAGTAGCTTATTTTTAACTTAGAAAAATTGCAAAATTGTCAACCTTTAAGAAAGGATATATTTAGGGCTCAACACGTGACCTGCCAAGTTTACTTAGGAATACACAGATCGGCAATTAAAATAAATTGTGCAATCATATATTACCCCAATCCGCACGAATTATAAATTCAGTGATGTGTTAGGACTGTGTTCCCTGCAATCAAAACATTACCAGTTACTCTCGCTGCTGCTAACGCCTGTGCTCGTCGGTGAAATGTGCTGTAGAATCAGGCAGGATGGGCTGGCGAGAGGCTGGGCAGCACTCGTCGGATGAATAAGCAGCCCTTAATTAGCCCATCAGGTTAAGTGCAAGCATTAATGGGCCTTTCCTAAAGTCTAGCTTGACATCTTTCTCCAAACATGGCCAAGAAGAAAGTTCCATTAGCAATATTAATACAAGCTTAGTTGATCATTTTCATTCAATTAACTTCTTTCAATTAAATAGATAGCTTGACAAAAGCAGTGATAAAAGACCTGAAGGGACAGCTGATGACTCGAACTGAACATTACTGTGCGAGAGGTCGCCGGTATTAAACGGACTGTAAATCTAGCATTCAATTTGGAAAATGCATTTCTTCTGCTCTTACTCCTTTAATGAGCAATTTTAGCTGACTAGATGTGTTTGCTGCAGAAATTTCATGGGAAGTCAAGCACCCTTTTTCTTTTCTTTTTTTCTGCCCCAACAGTGATATTCTCAGTGGTGGTGGTTTCCTGCCAACATTCCAGCCACGGTAACTCCTAAGTTCTCTTTCTGCTTGGTTAAAAATGAAGATATTTTAAAATAATTTATATCCAACTTGCATTAAATTGATGACTTTAGTCCACCTTTGTTAATCAATTTCTTAAAAGATTAAAGCAATAAAATCTGTAGATCTTTTAGTGAAAAATAAAAACATTAGAAAAATTTTATTTATACTATACCTTGTCACTAAAAAGTACTTAGGGCAATTTATAATAGATGCAAAGTAATGATATAAAAATAAGGCTTTAAAAGAAGGCAAATGTAAAATGAAAATGACTTTTCTTAATTTAAAAGTTTTGTAAATTAAAAATTACACCTGAAACAAGCCTGTATTTCTATTCCGAAATGAGTCAAGTCAAAACACACTTGTAGGTCCGGCC